CATTACATATATAACTGACATGGGCGACGCATGAATGCGTAATGCATCTCGGTGTCCAAAAGACCTGTAATCAGGACCTTTTCGGAGCTGGTTTAATAGTTGATGTAGACGTCCTTGTCACGACGTAACCCCCTATACACGAGGCTATTGCAGCTCCACGACCCGACGGCGGGACCCGACCCACCGAACGTTACTCACTCACTATGAGACATCTCCTTTACCAGTGGCAAAATATAGTAATAGGTTTTTACCCTTTCAACTGGTACAACAACTGACACCTTTATACAAGGCATCATGTTTGAGTTGTACGCCTTTTGGCGTCATCTGGTCCAAGACCAATGGAGACTAGGCTCGAAGAAAAGCTGTCTCGGGTGTGGACCAATCAACTTCAAGGACAGTGCATATCATTATCATTATCAGAGTTGCTTCTTTTTGTTTGCATTTTGACTGCTTGTGTTGTGGTTGTTGCAAACATGATGCCTTGCATAAAGGTGTCAGTTTTTGTACCAATTGAAAGGGTAAAAACGTATTACTATACTGTAACTCACTCAATCGACCCTCGATCATCTCCGGGCTCCCCTTTCATCCTGTTGCGCGCTCTATCCCCCTAGTGGCGGATATACCGTCATTACACTCGACCCTCGATCATCTCCGCACTTTTCCTTCACCTTAATAATAGGGGTTTTCCCCTTTTTTCCCCTTTTTCTGGCAACAAAACTGAAACCTTTTTACAAGGATTCGTGTCTGCATTAACCACAACACCTGCAGTCGAAATGCAATGTATGACTTACTGTTAGTAGCTCAGCTTATTGGAGAGTATATTTAGTATACTGATGATACTGATGTAGTTTAAATTTTATTTTTTATACGTGGTGGTTTAGTTGCTGCAGCTCCATACTATTAACATTCCTTTCCTTTATTAATGCTAACCCTACTCCCTCCCTTTGATGCTGCTAATCCTGCATAATGCACTATATGACTTTGAAACCCCCCGCCCACCTCCTACGCATTCCCCAAGTAGTGACTAATCCCATATCTGAATTTCCCATAAATATGATAAATTCCTCTTGATATGCTAATTATTTTGTCAAGGCGCTCTTCCCCCTCTAACCCAGCTTAAATATACGCTGCCAAGCCTGGTGGTGTTCATTCAGACGCTGTCTTTCCGACAGACCTGTTCTTCACCTGAGGACGGCTGCTTGCGTTGTGGCCGAAACGTCGTGAGAATTATTTTATTATGTTTTATTTTCCTTATTTTATTATTTCCCTTCTACGTGACTTTACCGAAAGAACTAAGAAGATGAACACTATGATAATATATTCATTGTCCTTAAAACTGATTGGTCCACACCAAGGGACGGCTTTCTTTTGAGCCTCGGCGTCCTTTGGTGCTCGACCAAAGGACGCCAAAAAACGTACATCTCAAAGACAAATGCACTATCAAAGTAATGAGGGCCCGGGGTGAGCATCTACATCATTAGACCTCCTTTGTCAGTACCAACATATAATAATAGGGTTTACCCCTTTATTCTGGCAACAAAACTGAAACCTTTTTACAAGGATTCATGTCACTGCATTAACCACAATACTTGTAGTCGAAATGCAAACAAAAACACACTATGATAATATATGCATTGTCCTTGAAATTGATTGGTCCATACCAAGGGACGGCTTTCTTTTGAGCCTCGACCCAATTGATGCTCGACCAGAGGACGCCAAAAGGCGTACAGCTCAACGACAAATGCACTATCAAAGTAATGAGGGCTCGGGGTGAGCATCTACATCATTACTCATCCTTTGCCAGTACCAACATATAATAATAGGGTTTTTCCCCTTTTTTCAAGGCAACAATACTGAAATATTTTTGTCTTCTTGGTTCTTTCGGTAAAGTAACGAAAGAACCAAGAAGATGAATCCCTGCAGTCACGAAAGCTTTAAATCGAAAAAATGAAACATTTTTACAAGGATTCATGTTGCATTAACAACAATACTTGCAGTCGAAATGCAAACAAAAACACACTATGATAATATATGCATTGTCCTTGAAACGGATTGTTCCACACCAAGGGACGGCTTTCTTTTGAGCCTCAACCCAATTGGTGCTCAGGGCTCTATCCCCCTAGTGGTGGATATACCGTCAATACACTTGTGGTGAACATGGCAAATACTACCAGAGCACGTTTTTTGTTTGCATGTTCATAACATGTTTCTGTGGTTAATGCAGATATGATTCATTGCAAAAGGTTTCTGTTTAGTTTTTAACATCTTAACACCTGTTTTATTTCTAGAAAGGGTAAAATCTATTCTTATATGTAGTTTAGTTTAAACTTATATGTTAATTGTTTAGTTTAAACTTATATGTGCGTTGTTTAGTTTAAATTATATGTGCGCTTAGTTTAAACTTATATGCACGTTGTTGAGTTTAAACTTATATGCACATTGTTTAGTTTAAACTTATATGTGCATTGTTTAGTTTAAACTTATATGTGCATTGTTAAGTTTAAACTTATATGTGCATTGTTTAGTTTAAACTTATATGTTCATTGTTTAGTTTAAACTTATATGTTCATTGTTTAGTTTAAATTTATATGTGCATTGTTTAGTTTAAACTTATATGTGCATTGTTTAGTTTAAACTTATATGTTCATTGTTTAGTTTAAACTTATATGTGCATTGTTTAGTTTAAACTTATATGTTCATTGTTTAGTTTAAACTTATATGCACGTTGTTTAGTTTAAACTTATATGTTCATTGTTTAGTTTAAACTTATATGCACGTTGTTTAGTTTAAACTTATATGTGCATTGTTTAGTTTAAACTTATATGTTCATTGTTTAGTTTAAACTTATATGCACGTTGTTTAGTTTAAACTTATATGTTCATTGTTTAGTTTAAACTTATATGTTCATTGTTTAGTTTAAACTTATATGTGCATTGTTTAGTTTAAACTTATATGTTCATTGTTTAGTTTAAACTTATATGCACATTGTTGAGTTTAAACTTATATGTTCATTGTTTAGTTTAAACTTATATGCACATTGTTTAGTTTAAACTTATATGTGCATTGTTTAGTTTAAACTTATATGCACGTTGTTTAGTTTAAACTTATATGCACATTGTTTAGTTTAAACTTATATGTTAATTGTTTAGTCTAAACGTATCTGTTCATTGTTTAGTTTAAACTTATATGTTCATTGTTGAGTTTAAACGTATATGTACATTGTTTAGTTTAAACTTATATGTTAATTGTTTAGTTTAAATTTATATGTTCATTGTTTAGTTTAAACTTATATATTCATTGTTGAGTTTAAACTTATATGTCCATTGTTTAATTTAAACTTATATGCACATTGTTGAGTTTAAACTTATATGTTCATTGTTTAGTTTAAACTTATATGCACATTGTTTAGTTTAAACTTATATGTTAATTGTTTAGTCTAAACGTATCTGTTCATTGTTTAGTTTAAACTTATATGTTAATTGTTTAGTTTAAATTTATATGTTCATTGTTTAGTTTAAACTTATATATTCATTGTTGAGTTTAAACTTATATGTGCATTGTTTAGTTTAAACTTATATGTTCATTGTTTAGTTTAAACTTATATGTGCATTGTTTAGTTTAAACTTATATGTGCATTGTTTAGTTTAAACGTATATGTACATTGTTTAGTTTAAACTTATATGTTCATTGTTTAGTTTAAACTTATATGTGCATTGTTTAGTTTAAACTTATATGCACATTGTTTAGTTTAAACTTGTATGCACATTGTTTAGTTTAAACTTATATGTGCATTGTTTAGTTTAAACTTATATGCACATTGTTTAGTTTAAACTTATATGTGCATTGTTTAGTTTAAACTTATATGTGCATTGTTTAGTTTAAACTTATATGTTCATTGTTTAGTTTAAACTTATATGTTCATTGTTTAGTTTAAACTTATATGTGCATTGTTTAGTTTAAACTTATATGTGCATTGTTTAGTTTAAACTTATATGCACATTGTTTAGTTTAAACTTATATGTGCATTGTTTAGTTTAAACTTATATGTTCATTGTTTAGTTTAAACTTATATGTTCATTGTTTAGTTTAAACTTATATGCACATTAAGTTTAAACTTATATGCACATTGTTTAGTTTAAACTTATATGCACATTGTTTAGTTTAAACTTATATGTTCATTGTTTAATTTAAACGTATGTGTACCTCGTTAAGTTTAAACTTATATGCACATTGAGTTTAAACTGCACCCTGACCTCACTGCTTCCATTGAAGCCCCTCCTACTCTCTTGTGGGAGGAGCTTAATAAAATCCCACCTGCCACATTGAGGGGCGGAGCTTACAAAAGCCACGCCCCATCGAGTGTGTGTGGGGGGAGGTTACTTAACTGAAAAAAAACACCTTCTCCGATTGGTCCATTGCCAGAGATGGGCGTGTCAAAGGGGGCGGAATCAACCCTTCATTCCCCCCACCTCACCCCCCAGCGCTAATTTACATACGAAGCCCCGCCCACATGCCCATATATGGAGTCTTTAGGGAGGGGCGAGGGCCGAGTGGTTGAGGGAGGGGGGAGGTCCCGGGGGTTCCTTCCGGCGGCGGCGGTTTGGTTTGGCGGCGGTGGCGTCGTCGTCGTTTGCTCGTGTTCGGGGGGGCCGTGTGCGCGCTCCTTGTGGTTTGTGGCGTCGTCTTCGTCGTCTTCGGCGTCTTTGGCGGCGTCGTTGACGGTGACGACGACGTGGGGGCAGTGGGGGGGGGCTTTGCGCGAAGGTGCGGACATTTTGGGCCCGTGCGCTGTGTGTGTGTGTGGCGGGCTGAGGGGGGGGCGAAGCAAAGCAGGCTGAGGGGAAAATAGGAAAAATTTGTAAAATAAATATTATATTACGTTGCCATATCGTTGTTAGGTCGGTGTAGACGTTAGCTAGTGAGTCGTTTCGGTGGTGGGGGGGCGAAGGAAGGAGGCGAAAGAAAGGAAGGAAGGTGGAGGGAGTTTGAAGTCGATTGTCTTGTGTGGTTTGGGAACGGCCAAAGGCTCCCCTACACACACACACAATACACACATACAACACACAACATACACAACACAACATACAACACATACAACACACAAATACACATATAACATACAAAACATACACATATAACACACAACACACACAACATACACCACATACAACACACAACACAACATACACAACACAACACACAACACAAACAACACACAACACACACACACAACATACACAACACAACATACAACACACAACACACACATACACACACAACATACACAACACACAACACATACAATATACAACACAACACACACATACACACACAACATACACAACACACACAACACAACATACAACACATACAACGCACAACACAACATACACAACACAACATACAACACACACACAACATACCAACACAAACAACATACAACACCACACACCCATTTCTTCTCCTCATCGCGAGGCGGCTTCGGCGTGCGTGCGTGGGGGGGGTAGGCCGCCCCGGGCCCACACAGTTGAGGCGGGGGGGGGGCCGCCGCGTGTAAGGATGGCGATGGAGGAGGAGAGACGCAAGCTGAGGGAAATCATCAACCACTGGAACGAGAACAGACTCGACCTCTTCGAGATCAGTCTACCCAATGAGGTGAGTTGTGCGAGTTGTGTTGTTGGTGGTGGTGGGGGTGGTGTTGGTGTGTGTGGGTGGTGTTGGTGGTGGTGTTGGTGGTGGTGGTGGTGTTGTTGGTGGTGGTGGGGGTGTTGGTGGTGTTGGTGGTGGTGGTGGTATTGTTGGTGGTGTTGTTGGTGGATGGTGGTGGATGGTGTTGTTGGTGGTGGTGATGGTGTTGTTGGTGGTGTTGTTGGTGTGTGTGGGTGGTGGTGGTGTTGGTGGTGGTATCGTTGTTGGTGGTGGTGGGGGTGGTGTTGGTGTGTGTGGGTGGTGTTGGTGGTGGTGTTTGTGGTGGAGTTTGTGGTGGATGGTGGTGGTGTTGTTGTTGGTGGTGGTGTTGGTGTGTGTGGGTGGTGGTGGTGTTGGTGGTGTTGTTGGTGGTGGATGGTGTGTGTGGGTGGTGTGTGTGGGTGGTGGTGGTGTTGTTGGTGGTGGTGGTGTTGGTGTGTGTGGGTGGTGGTGGTGTTGGTGGTGGTGGTGTTGTTGGTGGTGGGTGGTGTGTGTGGGTGGTGGTGGTGTTGTTGGTGGTGGTGGTGTTGGTGTGTGTGGGTGGTGGTGGTGTTGTTGGTGGTGGTGGTGTTGGTGTGTGTGGGTGGTGGTGGTGTTGGTGGTGGTGGTGTTGTTGGTGGTGGATGGTGTGTGTGGGTGGTGGTGGTGTTGGTGGTGGTGTTGTTGTTGGTGGTGGTGTTGGTGTGTGTGGGTGGTGGTGTTGGTGTGTGTGGGTGGTGGTGTTGTTGGTGGTGGATGGTGTGTGTAGGTGGTGTGTGTGGGTGGTGGTGGTGTTGGTGGTGGTAGTTGGTGTGTGTGGGTGGTGGTGGTGTTGGTGGTGTTGTTGGTGGTGGTGTTGGTGGTGTTGGTGGTGGTGGTGGTGGTGTTGTTGGTGGTGGATGGTGTGTGTGGGTGGTGTGTGTGGGTGGTGGTGGTGTTGGTGGTGTGTGTAGGTGGTGTTGGTGGTGGATGGTGGTGGTGGTGTTGTTGGTGGTGTTGTTGGTGTGTGTGGGTGGTGGTGGTGTTTGTGGTGGTGATGTTGGTGGTGGATGGTGGTGTTGTTGTTGGTGGTGGTGTTGTTAGTTGTTGGTGGTGGTGTTGTTGGTGGTGGTGTTGGTGGTGGTGTTAGTTGTTGGTGGTGGTGTTAGTGGTGGTGTTAGTTGTTGTTGGTGGTGGTGTTTTGTTGTTGGTGGTGGTGTTGGTGGTGGTGTTCTTAGTTGTTGGTGGTGGTGTTGGTGGTGGTGTTGGTGTGTGTGGTGGTGGTGTTGGTGGTGGTGTTAGTGGTGGTGTTAGTTGTTGTTAGTGGTGGTGTTAGTTGTTGTTGGTGGTGGTGTTAGTTGTTGTTGGTGGTGGTGTTGGTGGTGGTTTTCGGTGGGCTCGCTCGTCACTTGGGTGGCTTTCGTGGAGCGGAGTGCGTGGAGAGACTTCTGAGACAAACGCCGCTCGAGTTGAGGGGGGGTGAGTTGTGAACTTGCGGTGAAGGTCTAGACCAGGGGTCGGCAACCAAAATAACAAGAAGAGCCATTTCTTTCCAATTCGGTACAAAATTCACTATTTCAAGAGCCGCAATGCACATGAGTACATACTGTACATACGTACATATCGTCAAGAAGCAGCCCGTAAAGAGCCGCATACGGCTCCGGAGCCGTAGGTTGCCGACCCCTGGTATAGACGAATGATAATGGTGATGATTTAAAAAAACTAAGTTCAACCGGTCGTTGTTGTTGTGAGTTGTTGTGGACTTGAGTGAAGTATGGTACAAAGGCATTTACCCAGCAGTGCATTGACAGATGAACCATTTCCGCAAAGTGTAACACCTGAAGCCTCATCCAGCAGTGGATTGACAGAGTAACCACTCCACACAGTGTAGTATCTGAGGCCTCATCCAGCAGTAGATTGACAGAGTAACCACTCCACACAGTGTAGTATCTGAGGCCTCATCCAGCAGTAGATTGACAGAGTAACCACTCCACACAATGTAGCATCTGAGGCCTTCATCCAGCAGTGGATTGACAGAGTAACCACTCCACACAATATAGCATCTGAGGCCTCATCCAGCAGTAGATTGACAGAGTAATCACTCCACACAGTGTAGCATCTGAGGCCTTCATTCAGCAGTGGATTGACAGAGTAACCACTCCACACAGTGTAGCATCTGAGGCCTCATCCAGCAGTAGATTGACAGAGTAATCACTCCACACAGTGTAGCATCTGAGGCCTCATCCAGCAGTAGATTGACAGTAACCACTCCACACAGTGTAGCATCTGACGCCTACATTCAGCAGTGGATTGACAGTAACCACTCCACACAGTGTAGCATCTGAGGGCCTCATCCAGCAGTGGATTGACAGAGGAACCACGCCACAGAATCTGAGGCCTTCATCCAGCAGTGGATTGTAAAACGGTAATGACATCGATTGTGCAGCACCTGGTACAGTGCGAAAGAATTACACCTGTCAACCTCTTATCAGTGCCTAACTTATTACAGACCCATTTAGTCAGCCCATCCCCTTATACATATATCAACGTTCATCTTACAAAGTCCCATCACAAGGGAGAAACGCAAACAAATGGACAAAAATGTGTTTTTCCTGTATTGAAACGGCTGTACGTCATATGGACCTGAAAACTCAATTTCCATGTGCAAGAATACGGGGTTGACAGGTATGCGCACATATCCGTAGATACGGTGTGTTTGTGAGGTCGTTTTAATGAGTGCAGTCACATTGACTGGTTTCTAACAGCACCTTGTTTTTTTTCCTAACTTGAACAGGCGTGGTGAAGTATGGTCAAACTACCCTCGGCAACTGACCACTACCTTCATTATTTGCAGCGTTGTTGCATAGTTGCCGAGCACCTCCCTAAAACGCCAGACGGCCAGAAACAAGCAGCGCTAGTTAAAGTTTGAATAGATTTCAAGTGTTTTTGACAAAGGTGTCTCTCTGTACAGCACGTGATAATTATGATTATTTGTCTTTTCCCAGTAATGTCAAATATGACCCAGACGTGTGACATCTCTTGAGTCAAGGATTGAGGCGATTCGTCTTTTTGATTTCCTGAAAGTCTTAGTCGGTGGAGGAGGAGGAGGTGTTGGTTGTTTTCATGGAAAAATTATCCCCACTGGTGCAATCTCAATCAATGGCTGTCGCGGTTTTTGTTATGCAGCGTTCTGATTGTGTCTTGGGGTTGTTATTGCGTGCATACCAGTACGGTTGCCTGATGTTTCGTCCCAAAAGCTCGGTTCCTGAAAAAGCTACCGGCATCTCAAGCGAAACGTCGGCGCATCCACTTTGAACAAGACACGGGCGGCCCATCCTGAAATATTTATCGCAGTCGCGTAACCATCGCTCCTACCGTACATATAGCCTGCTTCCAAAGTCGACTTCGGAGTGCATTATTCATCCGTTCACTGTTCAGAGGCTTACAACCAAGTTGCCCTGAATGTGTCCAGACTGTCGGACCTCGGGCAAGCTCAGCAGATTTTTTTTGAGCCTGGGCAGTGCTGGCATGGGTGAATTGCTTGGCAATGCCAGATTGTGTCGTGTGGGTGTGGGAAGCGAGATTGTCCGGATACTAAAGTAGGACATTTATTCTCTATCTAAGACCGAAACAGGAGGAGGATTTCTCCACACTCTGGCTGGCCTTATGATGCTGGTTGGAATTACAACCAGTATCATTTTGTGGGTTTACTTTCCAACACCGGTTTGCGGAACTAGTAACGAATTTGTACGTTTAGTTTCGTGACAAACCTTACTAATTGGCTGTGGGGTGGTGACGGGTTTAACGATACTTATATTTACGCGATCTAACCCAAAAAACCTCTATGAAGGACAGTGGATTATTTAATCCATCTGTGTGGAACATTGAGTGTCCGTTTTCCTCGTGTACACAAAAGCAAAAACGCTTATGGATTTGGCCAAACGATTTCAATCTAGCAGTGCCCTCTTGAATTAAATCTTGAGACTCTTCGAGGTTTTCCTTGGGGTAAGTAAAATCACCATTATGTTTGTGGCCATGCGACCCTCAAGGCGGCGAACTGCACAAATTAAATGCAAAAGACAAAATAATGTGGGTTTATTTTTGGTGTGCAGGCATTTCTGACGAGGGTTTTTCTATAGAACTTGCTGAACATGACAACCTGGTTTAGTTACGGGTGGCTGCCCATATTCAAACGCAAAGATTCCTGTGCCGTTGCTGACTAAGCACTGTAGCAATGGCCACTTGGAGCCCTTCCTGCCAACTCGTCATTCTCATCGGCCACGGTCAATTCACTGCTGGATGAAGGCCTCCTCCAAGCCACTGCCACCTCTCGCTATATCTGTGAAAGAGCTTCATAGCTCATCAGATTCCTCGAGTATAAATAAAGATTCTGAATGATTCTTTGATGTAACATTCCACCCAGCTGATGCCATCGCTCCATCTCCTCTGGTAGACGTCCTCTCAGATGTGTCATCCCTCTTGGCTACCACCTTGTCAGTAGTCTTGACCGTCCGTCATCAAAACTTCCGCTGCCCAGTTGACATGAATAATAAATAATGCGGCCAGCACCACGGATTCCTCTGGTTTGCTATTCACACATCGATTCGCGTATGCGCAATCGCTCTTTTATAATCGTTATGTTTACATAATCGGGTGTTTTTTACCTTTCCTGCCACTGGTAACTGCTATATTCCCGACAATGTTTAAAAAATAAAAGCAATTCTCGGATGCAGATTGAGTGGGGAAAGTGTCCCGTGTGTGGTCCAGAGGTAACAGGGAGGGATGTCGGAGGTAGCTCCGGCATATCCTCTTCCGTGGGCTGTTGTTCAACACGAAGAGCTGACTGCTACTCTGCGAGAGTTCCGAATATACGTACATACGTAAAACTTCTTTCGCGTCTTGAGAATGGATTCTTCGTTTCGCGACGTGACAGCCGATGGCTCGGCCGGTTTCAAATTTGGGAGGGAAATCTCATCGCCGACAAAGTAACCAATGAGTTAACCGTCCTT